TTTAAAATTATTTGAAAATGAATTTGTTTCGAAAAAATTTTTAATTCGTTTATAACGGCTAGACGAACACGTTTTCACTTTAACGTTAGGGTTTAAAATTTAGCGACACGTTTTTCGAGAAAATAATTTTATATATTTAAAATTCTTGGTCGCTACAAGATAGCTTTAGTAGTTAATTGATAATTTTTCCCTTCTGTTACAATTCAGCAAGCTGCCAGGTGAGAGATACTATATTGCTAATACCATGTTTATTCAAAGTTCAGCTTCCACATGGTTTACTTTCCAACTTCATATCTGAGATGGACCATTAAACGTTCAAGACACTTAGAAACTGATATCTTGTAGCTATAGTTTCAGTAGTAACTCCAACCAACTAGTATAAAAAAAAGTTGGAAATGGCAACCAGTTCACTCCAGGCATCAATTGAAAGTCGTCTTTGATTTTTGTATTTATAACCAAGCAAGCTTTGGGAATTGGGAGGTGGTTCCTGTTTGTTCTTTTACATTTTTAACATACCTGCTTGAATCCAAGGTGTTAACCAACTTGGGAGCTTGATCCCAAATTGGTATCATCTATACTTAAGAGCTGGTTTCAGCTCACGTTTGAATAGAGAATGTGTCCAAAGTTATGTTAGTGTTTTCATTTAAAAAGTTTACTAGAAAATGAGAAATTGTTCATGAACTACACCTATATAGACCTTGTTCATTAACAAGCTCGTGCTTGAAAGCTCTACCCATTTACTTGTTACCAAATGAACTTGGCTGGACTGGATAACAAACCGAAGATAAGGTATTTATGGCTCATTCACAGTCCCAATCTCCATAGAGCAAACAATTGTTCTTAACTGTAAGCAATACTGATGTCAATCTTACAACTCTGACCAGCTTTCATCCATATAATGCAAGGACTTCTAGATAACTAGTTTATACTTGAATTAGGCCATTCATGTCAAGCACTTCCCTTCTAGCAGAGTTATATTTATTTAACCATCACCTCGAAGCTTTGAGATGAACAGCGATGGGACAAGATCTAACCATCAAATATCCCAAAAAGACAGACTGTTTGTCCATCAATCTTGGAAGTTTTGAAGTCATAAAAATCCTCATGCTAACCCTTTTCCCTCTAAAACTGGAATATCCACAGCTCGATCTTCCATCTTCACTGCCAATAAGGGAAGAGAATGGACATGAGTGTAGTGTAACTTCATCTGAAAATAGGGTCACAAAACAAACATTTACATAACAAAAGAAAGAAAGAGAAAAGTAAACAACAGTTTTATTGCATCATATAGACTTGTATTCACAGTATACGAATTCCATATATATTGCATGCCTTCTTTAACGATGGCTTAAGGTGTAAGTTAGTCCACAAGAAAAATTGAGTAGGTCTCGTACTTATTCAGCTTAGAGCTCACCCCGAAGAAGAGAAGAATTAAAAGATTGGTTACAATACAATATTTTCCTGATAAAACATTCGCTCGCCCATCTTACTAATGTTCCATGACGGGATACCCTTAATAGGGAACTGCAACTATGAGGCATTAAATTCGACTCTCCCACTTTCTCTCAGCTTTCATATTTCTCTTCTACCGTACAGGCAGATTCTGGGTTTTTCCAATTTCTTTTATGTCCCATCTTCATTCTGCACAAGCGCTATCTTTCTTTTGTCCCAGTAAGTGTGAAAACCATGTGTCATTCTGAAATATGTTACTAGTGAAGAGTATTTTTTTTTTCGAACCCATCGACATTTAGTTTAATAAAAGGAATAACACAAAATTAGAAGACGATCCTTTCACTCCCTTGAGGAATGGACATAAATTTCAAATGATTCTCACGTACCATTTGATCAGGCAAATGAATTGATAATTTCCAGGTCCATAACTTCTAAAGGTACACATTCATCATCAAAAACAAGGTTATTGATAGAAAATAGAAAGGAAATATTACTGATACCTATCCCAGTAGAGCTTCGACACTTAATAACACTTTAACAATCCAATTAATTGCATGAAAGCTTTAACTAACTTGTATGTAAGAGTGCACTTAAACATCAAGGTTACACTTACAAACAAATTCATATTCAAGATCATTTTAAAACCGTCAACTACTTGTAGAATGCATTCGAACATCAAGTTACAAGTACCAATTGTTTCCATTTTCAGATCAAACTTAAAACAAAAACTACGAAAGACCAAAAAATTGTAATCGATAGCAGGCACGTTTAAGTTATAACACCATCTAGCATAATTCACCTCACTCAAACAGGACTACCATGAAGACAAAATTTATATATCATGAGATAATTGCATAATTCCATGTGGTTATTAAAACATATAACCAACTCAAGAACTCTGGAAAGCTCATCACCACTTCCATCCTCCGCGGGCATAGCCTCCATCATCTTTCTCAGGTAAAAGATCGACTATTTGTCCTCCTCTTGCAGTTGCACCAGAATCAACCATCATATTTCTCGTTCTTGCAAATTTACAATCCGACAAATAAGTAAAGCTCTGAGTTGCATTCAAAACTCTCCAGACACAGCTAAACTGCCTCAACTCACTATGTTTCCTGATAGGCCGCAAATGAAGGCTTGCAGACTTCAGAAAGCTGTTGCATAACATCTAATGAAACCAACTTGATCTGAATTTTTAAAACTGATAAGACAAAAAAGAAAGAAATCATATCATGTTATCCCATCACATTTGCAAGCAGAAAATGAACACAAAATATATTCTTACTAAAGTGTCGAGTTGGTGAAAAGCATAGTAAAATGATAAAAACAACAAGAGCAAGACAAAGATCTTTCTAATATACCATTAACAGAAACTTGTTTTTTCCATTGGAGCATCACAAATTTGCATTTACAATTGCAAATGTAGCATATTATACAGTTTTAACTCGAGATGCAGATGCTCTTTTTTTAAGCATTTGTCTAACCTACACAATAGTATAGCCTCACTTCATGCAATAACCAAAAACATGTTTTTCTATATATTCTTTCTTCCCTTTGCTTTGACAAGTAAATTAATATAAAAATTCCGAAACTTCAACTGCCACAATTATTAACTAAATTTCAATTATCTTAATCAAATCATCTTTTCACATAGAAAGCACATACAAGCTCAATCTCATCTCTGTTCCTCATTTCATCAAGGACTAAAGCAGTTACCAGTTCATTTTTTAACGATGCCCTCCGATGCTGATTTGAACCTATCTAACTTTTTTCTTTGAAACTCATGCACTTCATAAATTGCAACAAGCAAGACATTCAATCACATTTATGAAATAATAAAGCAGATAAAAAAACCCCACAGCTTTTACAAAAACAAAAACGATGATCGATCTATCTTACGTTCAGAATATCGAACTTGGGGAACCGTAAAAACACAATCTTGAAACACAAATCGGAAGCCATTGATCAAAATATAGAATATAGCAACTTCTATTTTTTTTTTCTAATAATCTGAAAGGAGAAGTAATATCTTATACAATCACGGATAGATACCTTATAAACCTGCAGATTACAACTGAAAAAAAGTGAATTGGATTGGAACAAACTAAGATCGTAGAATATCCGAATCAACTAAAATTTAACATTTTAGTGAAAAAAAAATTTGAAAAAAAGCAAAAATAAAATCAAGGAAGGAAGGAGATTCAAGTTGGAAATAATGGACGAAATTAACAGAGGATAATGCAGGAAGGAAAGCTGTAGAAAAAGGAACTGAAAATAAAAAAGGATAGGCCTGCTGTGATGTAGGGAAGATGAAGAAAAATTCATTCATTCATGCTTAAGGAAATTTCAAGGCATTCTATTCTATTTATAGAGAAAATAGGTAACAAATTATCTAACAAACTAACAAGATAACAAACTAAGGAAAGAACTAGAA